TGGACAGGACCTTGCAAGACATACGGGAAAATGACCAGCTCATGGGTGGCATTACAATGGTCATTGCTGGAGACTTTCGCCAGACCCTACCTGTCATTCCTCGAAGCACTCCAGCTGATGAACTGAATGCGTGCCTCAAGGCATCATACCTTTGGAGAAGTGTTCAGACACCCACCCTATTCACAAACATGAGAGTACATCTACAAGGAGATCAGGATGCTGGACGGTTTGCAAACCTTCTGCTTCAGATTGGGAATGGAACTTCCCCTGTTGATTCAGAAGGACAAATAATCATTCCTTAAGGATGTGGAAATGTTGTAAAGTCCTAAACTGAGCTTACTAACATGGTCTACCCAAACATTATCCACCACTATAAGGATCACAAGTGGCTGTGTGAACGCGCAATTCTGGCACCAAAGAATGAAACAGTGGCTGAAATCAACAGACTCTACTGTATCAAATCTGTTGATACAGTAATCGACCAGGACCAAGCAGTCCAGTACCCTGCAGAATTCCTTAATTCTTTGGAGCCAGGTGGAGTGCCTCCTCACCACCTCACTCTCAAGATTGGAACCCCTATAATGCTCTTAAGAAATCTTGAACCACCAATCCTCTGCAATGGCACAAGACTGATGGTTAAGAGCCTGATGCCACATGTACCGGAAGCTACAATACTGACAGGAAAAGCTGAAGGAGAGGACATTTTTATACCAAGGATACCTATCATCACCACTGACCTGCCATTTGAGTTCAAGCGACTTCAGTTCCCGGTTAAAATGAGCTTTGCCATGACCATCTACAAAAGCCAGGGACAGTGCCTAAAGAGGGTTGGCCAAAACCTGGTGTTTCCTTGCTTCTCTCATGGACAGTTCTATGTTGGATGCTCCAGAGTGTTAACTGGCAAAAATCTGTACAAACTTGCTCCTAATGGCAAAACCAAAAATGTGGTCTACCTTAATGCACTACAGTGAGACAATGTGGAGCCTCCCGGAGGGTGGCGTCCTACCGTGGCGGCGGCGATTCCGCTAGTATACACTAAAAACATAACATTATACGAAACTTTACCTTCGATAATATTTAAAGAAAGAGCAATCCAATTTAAAACTGACAAAAATGACGAGAGACCTACGTACAAAGCTAAAATCAGGAATAAAAAAGTGTGAAATAAAATATACAGGGGACATTACCTTAATTTAGACGAGCCTTAGTGCGAAAAACACAATAATTCACAAGAAGCCATATCACAAATGGATGGCTTTACTTTATACTGGTGCAAGGCTTCCATAATGACGTGGTCACTCTCACAGTTGCTCCTGCCGAGAACAGAAATCAGACGGCGAAAACGGGTGGTCATGTTGGTGGGCATGGTTACGGATAGCTGAATGTGGTGGTTGTGTGATTAACTGGCCTGTTCGGACGGAACTGCCCAAGTGTTCATGGATGTCTTTTTGTTTTACCGATATATATACTGCCCTACAGCTAGCACACGTAAATTGATAAACAACTGATAATTGCAGGTGTGTGGGTATGGTGTCTTTAGTTTTAAAGATTTTTTAATTGAACTCTGAGTTTTGAAGATTAGTCTCAGAGAAATTTGTGGATAGATTTAATTGAAAAGCTTCTTAAGTTTGTTTCTAAGGGTGAAACTGAGTGGGCCTGTGTATGGGATGGTGAAATAGATAGAATATTTAGGGACGATGTGGATTTGAGGCTGTGTGGGACTAAAAAACCTATTAAGGGTTTTGCCAATATAAGTGCCTGTAAATCTCTTAGGGAAACCATTGTTAAAGAGTAGTTCATTTACGTATTTTAGTTCAATGTCCAAGTGGAAACAGCTTGAACATATATTAAAGGCTCTGTACCAACAGAGTACGTACTAGATTACGTTTGTAATTAAGAGGAATAAAAGATGAAAATTTTGAACTCAAACCAGTGAAAGTTGGTTTTCTGTATAAGGCTGTCTCGCATCCACGAACACTTGGGCCGTTCCGCCCGAACAGGCCAGTTAATCATACAACCACCACATTCAGCTATCCGTAACCATGCCTACCAACATGACCACCCGTTTTCGCCGTCTGATTTCTCAGTTCTCGGCAGGAGCAACTGTGAGATTGACCACGTCATTATGGAAGCCTTGCACCAGTATAAAGTCAAGCCATCCATTTGTGATATGGCTTCTTGTGAATTGTTGTGTTTTCGCACTGAGGCTTGTGACTCATCTAAATTAAGGTAATGTCCCCTGTATATTTTATTTCACATTTTTTTTATTCCTGATTTTAGCTTTGTATGTAAATCTCTCGTCATTTTCGTCTGTTTCAAATTGGATTGCTCTTTCTTTAAATTTTATCAAAGGTAAATTTTCTTAAAATGTTATGTTTT